ATATACACACACAATAAAGATATGGACATCAGACTGTTGATAAGTATCAAGTATAAACAGACATTACTTTATTCACATCTGAATAAAGGGAAGTGGGAAAATAACCATGAGCCAAAGATGGAAAATACAAGGGAAAAGTCCAGCAGACTTAAGAGGATAAAACGATGTTACTCCCCCCTAACAGGAGCAGAATGCCCTAACAACGGGCTAAAGGCAAAAAAGGCATCAAGAGGGATGAGATAAGGATATTAAAATCAGAATGACAACAGTGAGATTTTAAATCTCTACTTTCCAATAAAAAGCAAACTGAATCAAGCAAAAAATGCAAATCACCACATGAAAATCTTGAAAAACTCACTAAAGCACACTGCAATCTGGACTAGACACATTTCAAGTTCAAAAGGGACATATCATTAGTGACTAACCCACTGGCCAGCACAGGTTTAGAGTGATTACGTCCAGTACCATGTCTCACAGCTAGTTAGTAAAACCAAGATGCAATTTTAGGTCCTCCTAACTCCAAAGCTTGTTCTTTCTGTTTGAGGAAACCATCAGAAGTTAACATATCTTCTAACATTCAATTCATACAAACAAAATCATGACTAGAGGATGAAACTTATTGGCAATTCAAATAAATATTTAAAAAACAAAACCACAAAGCGCATTTATATAACCCCACCATTATCTAAAATGCCAGTTTCAAAAGTGAAAAATCCCTAAGAAAAATTTTAATTAGATAGGTAGGTCTATGATGTACACAAATTGTGAACATGATACTCTAGGTATATCAGCATATATTTATAACAACATTAATGGGTTTTATAACCAATACCTATTTTGGTCACTTTGAAATCATAGATGTTAAAGATGAAGGTCATCAATATTAAACCATGCACTTTACATTATTACTACCTGAAACCATGGATTATTTGTAAGCCACTTAATGGAAAGGAACATACAGGTCTTCTCATGAAAATACTTTATCTTAAATTCATGTAATATCAATTATATAAATTGAAATATTAATTCTGTATGGTATGTAATTCCTAGTAATCCGTAGCCATGCCACCCAGAAACTGGGAGTTACCGTGGACTCCCTCCTGCTCCTCCCTAGCCCCTGTATTCAATTAACTATCAATTTCTGTGAAACTTAACACTTTAACATCTCTTGAATCAACAGCTTTTCTCCACTCATTTCTCTCCTTCTCCATGATCACCACAGTGGTCTAAGCTAATGTGCACTGTGACCTAGACTTGCCTAATTTCACATTTCCTCCTGCTCCTCTCCAATCCAGTGTTTGCAATGCAACCATGGTGATTACTTCAATCTTTAAAAAATGATTATGTCACTGCCTCGCTTTAGTGAAAACCCTTCAATGACTTTCCATAGTTCTCAGGATAAAGACCAAAATACTTAAGTACAGACTCTCCAAGATCCCGCCCATGGATTCCCAACTCAACAATCACCAAGTGAAATGCTGATTCATTAGACGTACTTATCTGGCAGTTTAGCTGAGCAGCATAAAATGAAGAGCACATGGCCCTCTAGAGGGAGTGCTGCTGCCCAGATCCAACTCAGGGTTGCCATCTGAAAATACACACTTGGGTGTTGCCAGACTTTCACGTGACATCAGGAGGTGTCTCCTGAAACATGAAGGCTGGCAACTAACTTCTACTTTTCCTCGAACAACAAGGAGGCCAAATCTGACCTCTCACGTAGTCTCCTCACCTCACCCCACTCTGCTAAATCTCTACACCAGCCATTACTAAACATTTCTCAGATCCCCAGTGATGCCAGGCTTTTTTCTTAGGGTTGTCTCACACATGTGGTGTCCTCTGCTTTGACCCACTTTTTTCCCATCTCTCTACTTCACTTAGGGATCCACTTGTTAGAAGTCTCTGAGCCATTCATTGCTTCCTCAGTGAAGCCTTCCCTATGCCCACTGCCTGCCCCTCAACTCCAATCCACAGGATAAATCACACCATGATGTGCTCTGACAGCACTGAGTACAACTTCATAACACTTATCACACTTTGAAAATAAATCTACTTGGGAAGCTCCAATGAAAGCAGGGCCTGACACGCAGTAGACCTGTAATACACATTTGCTGCTAACTACTTTGGTTAGAAAATGTACCTTTAGACAACAAGGTTCAGGTATACTTTTTAAAATATTAACTGGGTGTTATTCTGTATGTTGGTAAATTGAACACCAATAAAAAATAAATTTATTCAAAAAATAAAAATAAAAAAATAAAATATTAATCTGGACCAAACTTTTCGGAAACAGGTACAGTATTTAAAGTAGTCTCAAAATTTAAATAAGTCAATTAAAACTATAGTAATTGCTAATCTTTACTGAGCACTTTGCATGTACCATCTCATTCAACACAACAATCTGTAAAGTAGAAGCCAACGCCATCCAGGGGAAGCAGCTTAGGCACAGAGTTTAATAATTTCAAGATCATCCATCTAACCAGTGACAAACTAGGGTATGTATGAATCCTTGGGGTCAAGACTCTAGAACTTAAGCACCTAAACTACAGTACTACATTAACTCACTAATAAAGAAAAGTCAATTCAACAAGTAACCCTTAAATACCGTGAATAAGAAATAATGGCCATGATTCATTTTCCATTACTTAGCCATTAAAGTAAGGCTCCTCACCCTGCACCCTTCTACACACACAAAATTAAGATAAATTATCAACTGTATTTTTAAAATTTAAGATTTTTTGAACCATATCCAAAATAGGTATGATTTTAGCACCAACTAGTTACATTAAATTATCTTTCTGAACAACTTTTTTTTCTGAACTTTTAAATAAGCAAATGTTTCTACATTAGTTTGATGTTTCATGTCCCACATTTTAAACTTATTTGGATGGTTTCTATTTTGAAACATATTTCATTGCCCAAGTTAGAAACTGCTACAGACTGTGCTTTCAGATATGATAAGCAACAATCAGTAACTTACCAAGAAAATACAAAAATAAACTCATATAACCACAGAAGTATGTACTGAAGTAATACAGGGATCCCTCTTCACCTGAACCTTCACTCTGAATCTTTGCTTTCCAAAATTCAGGAACTAAGTAGATTTAAATAGATTTTCTCATATATCATTTGCCACCTGGGCTCTTGCCATCCAAAACTCATCCAATTCCTTACTATTAGAACTCAATAATGAACCAAAGCTCCAAAAACTCAAGAACTGAACAGTTTTGGATAACAATGCACAAAGCATACGCATTCACAGGTTATATAAATTTAAGAATTCTTGTTTAAGAACTTTAGGCTTTTTTTAAATGTAAATAAGATGGACATACCCATATTCGCATTCAGATCTTTTTTTCCAAATCTTAAATTTTAACTACACTTAACTGAGAATTTTTTTGGTGAATGTTTTTAAAATAGAATGTTGCCATACACTGTATGTTTTTTAACCTTTAGACCACACTTGGAACGTAAAGAAAACTGTTGAGTACATACACGACTGATTAGTGTAATAACAGAGTTAGATAATGTTAATGTCTGGCTCTCAAATCTGAAGCCAGTCATAAACACCCTTAATTTTCAAATATTTATCACAACTTGTATAAAAATCACAGGAAATAAGGTTCTCCAGGAAAACAGTACTTTCGGCATCAATTTTTCAGCAACATATTACACAGATCACATCAGATTTTTCTCGAAGTCGCAAAGAGCAAAATAAAAGAAACTGATGAGAAAGAGTACAGAAGTTGAAAATGATGGCAAAAAAAAGTCCAAATTTGGTTACAAAATAATGGCTTCAAACAATGTTAGAAGTAACAACTGCTCCTTAAGGTTCAGCCAAAAGTCAGAGAATCAGGAAGCAAATAATGAATTAACAAGATTGAGAAAAAGGAAAAACCAGCTGTCATGACAACACCGCATTATCCCAAGTATTTAACTTAGGCTCATATTTGAACCTAAGCTTTCTCAAAAACCTCGTGCCTGACAAAAAGTTAGAACTAATGTCAGTTGAAAACAGAATTTATGTGGGTTTTTTTTTTCACATACTTAAAAATTATTTTAAGAAACAGGAAAAAGGAGGAATTTAGCAGGCCCAAAAAAAAAAAAAAAAAAAAAAAAGTAGGTTTGGGAAAAGTAAACTACTTTCCCAAACTCTTCTTTTGACACAAATTGCAAAAATGATTTAAAGAGACAGTCACTAGGGCTCCTATTTTATCCTAATTTGGCTAAACTCCCCCAAAAGCTCTCCTCAAATTTGGTGATCTGAAAGAATGTGAACCCTTAATCAACCAAATTGCAAAAGTTACAATGACACACTGCAACCCACATATTAAAAAGAAATAAAAATCAAAAAAAAAAAAAAACATAACCAAATCTTGTTATAAGACACAAAATGAAATGACTGTAAGATTCAGTGATATTTTTAACAGAACTGATTTCCATATGGAACACGAAAACAGGTGCCCTGAAAATAACAGAAATCAGGGGGTATTTTTGCGTGCTGAGAAAGGACAGGAATATCCTGCCCCATAGTCTGGCTTCCTAAAAAGCTAAGATTCCCTCCCAAGCTTTAACTACAAGCCAGAGGATAAGAGCCCTTTGGGAGAGAACAAACTCCTAGGAGCTGTCAGGATTCACTGGGTCTATTTCAGAGGGTGACACTATGAGTGAATGCAACACATTCTTAAAAAATGAAGGCGCAGCATATGTGATCGTTTCTTTTAAATTTTCAGACCTCCCAGTTGTTCACTTCAGACCTACCATCTCCGAACACAAATGTTTCTCCTATATAAAACAAAGGACCTGGACTCAAATGAGGGTCTAGAAGCCCTTCCAGTCGCTGATTCTATTGTTCTACCAGTTTTGAAATAACTACTCTATAACGATTCAGGGAAAATTACATTTCACTGCAAAACAAACCAACAAACAAAGGCAGATTTCATGCAATAAACCATACCTCGCTCTGCCAAATGCTAAAACCCAAACTTCTGAAATAAACAAACCTGTGTCTGTGTTCATCAGGTCCGTGGATCAGAAAGACTCCAGGGTTTTTAGCCCCTTTGCTGGCATCTACGTGAGGAATCAATACATCTTCCAAACCCAGATCAAAGCGTTTGTGTTTTGAAGAGTCTGGAAGGAAGAAGAATGCTCCAAAACACAGGGTGATGAAGGCACTTAGGATAAGGAGGAGGATAAACTTCTCGGAAAGTCTCAAGGTAGCCCTGTGGTGTGGGAAGGAAGGCGGTCCCAGGTTCAGAGGTGGTATCCTTCGTCCAGATAAGGGCAGCAGGGCCGGGGTAGTCATCGTTTACGCTCTTGCACAGAAAACCTTAAAAAGTTCTCATCTCACATCAAATGCACAATGCATCGAACAGTCTCCAAAACCTCGGCAAACATGGAGAAACTCGATTTTGCTCCTCTTAGAGGGCTGTTGTGCTTTTTAATAGGGCACCTCTTTCACGCTCATCCAATTACATTCAAAAACGTGTGTGGCCCCCACACGCTCACTAGTGTGTGTCCCGTGGTATCTTCCCTGCCATCCGGCTTTCAGGAGCTCCTCGGGGCACCACGAGTCGCCTCTTCATTCCTAAGGACACACGAGGCGAGCAACACCGCAGAGAGGGTGCGCCGTGGGGTCTTCCATCCCTGCACCCCGCAGAGAGGCTCCAGGGTGGCCTCCCGCCCCCGGACCGGCGCCTCAGCAGATCCCGGCGGCCGCGGCAGGTTCACTTAACCACCTCTGGCGCTCCGCCCGCTGAACCCCTTTACCTCGGTGGCGGAAAAACGAGGGGCTCCTCGGCAGTCGGCCAGCAGGCAAGGAGGCAGGTCTCCCGCCTCGCCGGGAACGCGAAGCAGCGGCGCCGGGCCAGGTCCGGGAAGGGGCCCTCGCTCGCCCGCGCCCGCCGACGCCGCCCCCCGGCTCCGGGCTCCGGGCTCCGGGCTCCGGGCTCCGGCTCGGGGCTCCGGCTCCGGCTCCGGCTCGGGGCTCCGTTCCGCCGTCGCCCCCCCGACGGCCGGCGCGAAGGGCATCCGCGCCCCGACAGCCTGCGCCCTCGCAGCCGCCGCCGCTGTTGCTAGCGCACGGGTCCGGCGGGGAGCGGAACTTCCTCCTCGCGCGGCCACTGAGAGGCCCCGGCGTGTGCGGGGGGAGGGGAGGGGAGGGGAGGGGAGGCGCGGCGGCCGCCCCCGCCCGGCTCCTCCTCCCGCCGCCGCCGGAGTTAACCCCGGCGCCCGCTGCCCGGACGCGGCCGCCGCTGACCCCCCCGCGCCCGGCCTCGGTGGCCCGGCCCCCGCGGCTCCGAGGCGTGGGAAGAAGCCGAGCCGCGGCCCCGCGGCCCGAGAGCTCGGGGCAGGCGCCTGCTCATTCCTCGCTCGGCACTGAGGAGGGGGGGGGGCGGCGGCGGCGGCGGCGGCCCCGGGCGCGCAGGAGCGGCCGCGCCTCGGCCGGGCAGAGGTCGGCGGCGGCCCCGGCCCCGGCCCCGGCCCCGGCCCCGCCGGCCTCCGCGGGGGCCTCCTCGGCGCCGCCTCCGGTCGCCCTCAGCGGCGGGCGGCGGGTGCGGGAGAGGCGGCGCGTCCGCGCGGCGCGGGGCTGCGGCCCGGTCCTCGGCCCCTGCCTCCCAGGCCCGCCGAGCGCACACCGCCGAGGGCCGACGCCCGTTGGGCGCACGCCTGCAAGGGGCCGGGGAAGCGGGCGGGGGCGGATGGCGCGGGCCGGCCTGCGCCCCGACCCGCGAGTGGGCGTCCCCGGGCGCCGAGTGTGAGGTGCGCGCGCACGCTCGCGGCCCCGCCCCGCCCGCCCGCCCGCCCGCCCGTCCGCCCGGCCCGCGCTTCGGCCTCGCGCCCCGGCCTCGCGCCGCTGCGGGCTCCGCCGCCCGCCGCCCCCCGGGGACCCCCTGCCGCCGCCGTGTGGGCCGGGGCCCCCCTGCGCCCGCCCTGCGCCCGCCCTGCGCCCGCCCAGCGCCCCCCCCAGCGCCCCGCGGCCGGCTCGGCCGCCGCCAGCGCCAGTTAGCGGCGCTGACCCGGCCCTGGGGGGCGGGAGGCGGGCCCGGGGCGCGAAGGTCTCGCCGCGGTTGAGGCTCCCCTCAGGGACCGAGCTCTGGCCTCGAGTCCCGCTCGCTGGCGCCTCCGCCTCCGCCTCCGCTAGACACGCTCGGTCCCCAGAGCGCCACGGCCCGCGCCGCGCCTCGCCTCGCCGCGCCTCGCCTCGCCTCGCCTCGGGCGTGTTCCGTGCAGCCGTGTGCACGCTGCTGGGCGCCCGGGCGAGCATCACTAGGGAGCGTCGGCCACAGGCCCGCCCGGCTCTGTGCTAAAAATGGCGGCCGTGCCCTTTCCGTCGGGCTTCCGAGCCCGGGCGGCACCAGCCCTCGTGGCCCCGTCTGAAAGCAGCCTCCTCGAGGTTTTCCCGTCGCGCCCTCGCCCTCGCCCTCGCCCTCGCCCTCGCCCTCGCCCTCGCCCTCGCCCTCGCCACCACCACTCCCATTAAAAATTAGTGTGAGCCCGAAGGCGCTGAAATCCAAAAGGGCGATATCGTCTAAATGCAGGCCGAGACGCAATCTAGTCCGTCCCGTCATGCATAAATATTGAAAAGAGCCATGTTGTGACAAAGTCCAAAAAAATCATAGATATATGCAAATATATATATATATGTGGTGTCTTGCACTTCCACGCTGAGTATTCTCCTAATATCGAAACAAGCCGTCATTGTCTCGATGCATCATCCTTACTGGTGGCTGAGGATGTGGGGGAGGAGGCCCTCAAATGCCAGGGGAGAAAAATGAAGTCTTAGCTCAAAAAAATCAAGCCAAAAATAAATAAATAAATAAAGACAAAAAAATCTTCGTGCTCATTGGCACAAGCCGCAGCACATTCCAGTCTGCACTATTTCCAGAAGCTCTGCGTATCTACCGACCTACCTACCACAGGACAAAAGAAGGCATGGCCGTTCGCCGAGCTTCACCAAATCAGAGACAGAGATACTAAGGGACGGCCACCTCTCACGAGCTGACCCAGTCAGGCTGGCAAAGTGTGCTGAATCCGAACTGGGGTTTTTTGTGTTGGACACTTGTGAAGAGGGGTCGGTATGAGAAAGGCCCTGCCTCGGGCAGCCCGGGGCGCGCGGGCGCGCAGCCGTTTAGCGCCGCCTCCAGCCCAGGGTGTGATCCCAGGGACCCAGGATCTCGTCCCGTGTTGGGTTCCTTGTCTGGAGCTTTGCCTGTCTCTGTACCTCTGTGGATGTGTCTCTCACGAAAAAGTGAGTGATTCTTTAAAAAAAAAGAAAAAAAAAAAAAAGAGGCCCTCCCTTCCAGAAGTGTCTATAAATGTGCCGAATTTATGAATAAGTTTCTAATGCTGAGCTTCTCTGGAGGCCAAAGGAGAAGAAACATGGGTTTCCTACTGGTGAGGTCATTATTTTCCATGAAAAGATGGGGGGAAATAAATATTGAGCTGTGAATGACATAGCAAGTTATGTGAGTCTGGAAAAGTAAAGATCTAAGTTGACACCAAATCACTAACCACAGAGAGATCAATCCTAGGAAACCTGCTGTAACCTAGTGTGACTTCCACAGGCTCAATCAACCTCATAGCCTTTGGAAAAGGCTTATATGTGCCCCTTCTTTCTAGCCTTTGCCTTTCTGCAAAATTCATTTTTCCTTCACAAGAGTAAAAACATCATTATTTAAATTCGAGGTTATTGTAAATTTCCAAACACAGTCTGCAATTCTAAAGCCATTGACGATGCTATCAGTTATTTTATTATAATCCTAAACAAGCACCAAAAAGTAATGTGTAAAAAAAAAAAATTACATATATATATTTAGTATGTGTGTGCATTCTCTTCTAGAGACTAGGTCCCTTTTAAATAAGTTGTGAAAGAATCAGCAGTATTTTGTTGGGGTTTTTTAAAGCACGTTGCAAATGTATTCATAAATTACGATTACAAGTTCATAAAAATATGCATATAAAAGATTAAAAGGGAAGATTTGAAAAAGAAGTATGCCTGTTAAGATGCTGGTATTACCTTTGATTTTCCCCATGTGTTCAGTTCGTGTTACTTTTATTATTAAATAAATAAATAAATAAATAAATAATGTTAAAGAAACTGGTACTTGAGAAACTTGAGGTCAGATTTCAAATAGGTAGACTCAGTTGTAACAAGGTGAAAACACATCTGGGAGCAATCAACAGAAAGAGAGTACATGAAAAAAATATGTATATATATTTCCATATATATATGGAATATATGTATATATGTATATGTATATATGGAAAGATATATATGGAATATATGTGTATATATATATATATATATATGGAAAGATCTCATTCTAGAGAATGCAAAGAGAATATCTCATTTTCAACGAGTAGTTATGCTTTATTCAAGATTCCAAAGTGGCAGATAAAGCAGTGATTTCTCTTTTACAAATCCATATACATTCATTGATATTTCAGTAAATATGACTTATTAAATTCCTAACAAAGCAAAATTTGCTCCTACATTTTTTGGATTTATGAAACCATTACTGAGACCCACTTACATATTACAGTGTAAACGTTATTTAAATTTGTTCAATCATATGTTAACTTTTCATCATCAAAATAATTTTAACATGTATTATACCCACACACACACACACACACACACATATGCCATCTAACTCTGTTTTCAGTAAATTTGAAGTTATATGCTAGAGAAAAATATACATACATACCTGATACGCAAAAAGAGGCTTTTGATTTACTTACATAGCCCGTTCCTTCTTAGTTTCAACTGGTTCCCAAATATCCAAGAAAGATGTTAGAGGAGAAATTATCAGACATGACCACTAAATGCATAGAGAACCAGGCTTTGGCCCTATTCTTTCTGTTTTCACATTTTTCTGTGAAGCTTTCTTCCTCAGCGGGCAGGGACAAACTGAAGTTCAATGTTAATGAAACTCTCAAGTTAGCTCTATGAAAATCAAGAAAGACACGAATCTTCAGGTGTCTCACTGAACCAAAGTCTTTGAGGTTCATTTGCTCATAAAAGACACCTTTGTTGAAGGACTACTATGCAACATACCATATGAGGTGCTGGAGATTTGGAAAAATAAGTCATAATCCCTATTTCAATCAGCTCACAGTCTGGTGTGGGGAGATAGCTGAATACTGACAATTACAAATGCGGGGGCAGAGAGAATGCTGTTAGAATAAAGCCCCAGGGGTTCATGGGAACACTAAAAGGGCACCAGAGTGAGGGGAACGAGATTGGGAGTGTGCTGGGAAGGTTCCTAAATCAAGTGTCACCTGGACTGAGCCTTTAATTAACTAGGAAGAGAGAAGGGTGGTGTTCTAACTTGGAGAACAGAGTACTCACAGGAACCCCTTTGCTGCTTTTTCCCCATCACTTACCCAGAGCCCTTCCTTTCTTACTCTTCCAGTAAACAGCTGCCTATTCCTAATCGCCCAATACTCTCAAACTGAAAAAGTGAAAAATTAAAATTTTAGAAAAACCTATTACTATGTAAACAGATTTCTGGGGCCTCTCCCACAGCCCAAGACAGGGCCAAGCAAGAAGGAACCTAGAAGCTTAAGCTTCACTGGGCTCATATAAATTACTTTTGCCCTGAATCCAGCCATATCCAAGACTAGTTCATCCTTTGAACTTCTCAGTTACACAAGCCTATACATTTCCTTTTTCATCAGAATTAGTTTTTATAGCTTGCCATGTAAAGAATCTTGAATGATACACCGTATGTCTGCATGGAGGTGCTCTGGATGCTGATAGAATATGAAGAAGCATCAGTAGTTTTACTAATGTAAAGAACCACTCTTTCAGGTGACCAACGGGCTTGGGACCAGGGCAAAAGTGGGATAGAACCAAGAGAGAACAACTGTCCTCTTGAGCGGCTGGAGGAGAAGACCTATAATTGAAAGGGCTGGACACTAGTGACAGCAGACCTTAGCAGCCCCTACAGGAACCTTCCAATGAGGAGCCTCGGTG